AGGGGGGGGGGGGACGTGAGAGAATTTTCGAGAGCGACGAGGACGTGTTGCGCGAGTGTCTGTTGGTGTGTCTAATGCGAGGGATCCTTGGAAAGGATTCGTAACAATGGATAAATAGGGAAAGTCCTTATAAGGTGTGAATGATTTGTAAGTGACGCAACAGACGCAACGAGCGAAGAGCGTGAATAGAGGTGTAACGTTCTGTTGGTTAGTCTGTCTGTCTGTCTGTCTGTCACGGCCGCGGTGTGTTTTGCCGGGGGAGAGTATTTCCTAAAATCCAAACCAACGTAGTGTTACTTTATTCGCTGATAAGGGAATACGAATGATTTTTATGTTTTGTATTAAAAGGCAAAAATCCTTAGAAACAAACTGGAAAAAAATGTAAAACGAAAGTGAAATACGTTAATGGAGGTAAGGTGACGCGAGGGGGGGGGGAGATTAGGAAGATGAAGACGAGAGACGATTAATTTATGTCGAAACGTGGGGATAACCGAATAGTAAATATAAAAGGAGACGCAAAACAAGACGAAAAGATGATAAGAAAATGACAAAAAAATATGGTGAATTAATAATAATAATTACGAATTTCGCGAGAGAAAAAAAAAGCGCGAGCGTTGAATGTGTGAAACCTCCTTCATAATTGAGACGTGTTTGTTATAATTATAAGAGTCACTTTTTTCCTTTTTCTTGAAATGAAATGCTATAAAATAGATCGATTCTTTCATGGAGACTCCTGACTTTATATCATAATAATCAGTCCCGTACCAAAAAGCGACACGTGCGAATTCCACCCCCCCCCCTCCTACCTACTCCTCAGATCCCCCCTCCCCATGCATCCTTCCGCATTCTCGGTCGACAGTGAGATATTTTAAGAATTTCCATTAGTCTCCATTCGACGCCTCGTGTCCTTCTCCCACTCGTTCCTCACCAGTCCAAAAAGAAGAAGGAAGCAGACGTATAGTCGAAAAAGAGCAAAAGTCCCAGAAGAAGAATGGAACCAGAGAGGATGAATGAAAAAAAGATAAATAAGATCCACCGCGTATACTCGTTTCAATACAAAGCTACTCTACTCTTGCTACATCATATTTATCTGTACTTTTCGACTTTTAATTCATTTAAAAATCTTTTTAGTACTTTAATAAATGAGTTTGTTATGAATAATCATCTGGTTATTTTTACGTTCCAAAAGAATTTCAAATTCAAACGCTGCCAAACGATGGGTAAGTATATGGCAAAAGTCTCCGTTACAAAATTGCATATTTTTGCTATTTCGAAAAAAAAAAAAAAAAAAAAAAAAAGTTAACGTCCACAAATAACCATACAGTAACACAAGAGAATGAGTCAGCTCTCTATAACCTGTAACCCATAACAAATTAACAAGCTATCACAGAATGCCTAGATAACAAGCAGATATCGATTCTACGACTTCATACCCAGACTAGAAAGTTTCGAACTCCATTCCAATCAACTAAACAACCTCAATCCTTTTTCTTCTTTGACTTCGATATTCCCCCGCCAGCTGAATACATCCGTGATACCAGAACAGTCTAAACCCCATAAAAATTATAATCACAGTACATTATACACGCCAGACTCGAACTACAATCGTGCCACAAGTTCCACGTGGTTTTTCTGACAGATCAATAGAAATCAAGTCACACGTGGTTCCGCATAAAATGTTTCCTCAAAATTTCTTCCAAAGTACATCAACATGATTTTGCACTGAATTATATTTTATCCTTCTACTATAGCATAAATTAACATTGCCCTAATACATATCCACGTGTGGCCCATCAAGCAATCCACCGTTTGACACCTGCCAAAAAGACACGTGGAACGTCTGAATCGATTATACGTCAAGCATGCATAACGCTTATAACACTTTTTCTTGAGGGACTCAATTTCCCAGAGCGCGTCGACCGTCATAGAAAACTGGTAAGACAAGTCACGTAAAGAACGAACAATACCAGAGATCGTGTATTCTCGACGGCAACGATTCAAGAATTCAAGACGTCAAATAATCCCTTTGGACCAATTGGCCAACGCGTAACGCACTTCAGGAATTAATCGAACAATTATTGGACTGTCGAATAGAAGAATAGAGCCATTATTACTAGGAAGGTATGACATATACGTGGAGATTGACCAAGAGTCGCACAGTAAATTTACTCCAAGAGTTCGAGGAGGCCAACGAGGTCAGGGGATCAAGGTCTTTCATCTCGTTCAGCATCAGACTTTAACATCTTGGATGAACGTTCCGCATTTCTCGTCCCACAATTAGCTACGCCGTGTTGCGCATATATATACACAACATATATATATATATATATATCTTTATTCGATGGTCACGTTGAATACACTATAATGGGCTCGCGTTTATTACGACTAGCTTAAATGTCAAGCGCCACGAGACTGTAGGAGCCATCTTTCCGGTAATTACAATCTTTCACGAGATATCCTCGACTTGAAGGAATTCTCAATCGACTTAACGTAATCGTTAGAAACTATTTAAAAAAATCGAATCCACGAAGAATATTTTTCCTTAGTCTCTTACGTTTTCTTTAAGCATTGGAATAGATCAGTATTACAGTACAATGTTACATATTACATATAAACGTTTATTTCCATAGCTTACATGTCAATATTGAATATGTACCTACACGGTAGGCCGAGGAAACGTGACTCTTGAATTTTATTGTCATTCTGGAGAATTCGACGAAACTCGTAATGTACGCAAATGTCAAATATCTCGTTATTGTAGGAGAGTATAGAATGACGTTTCTTTATGAATTATTAATGTTTTTGCGCCAGCCTCGTTCCAGCAAGGAGCTAACAATGCCGGGCTATTCTAGAGTCGTTGTACTTGTGCCTGGAGGAATGTCCTTAGGGTATTCAGGTTAAATATTAATAGTCATTAGTAATCGCCGGTGGTGTTGCCTTGTGTGGGAAAAACGCGGAAACGGAATTCATAGAAGAAGTATAGTGAAATAATCATAGTGGTTTTTCTCCCAAGATAATGCGCTCGCGTTAACGGCGAGTCCAGGAGCGTGGGAAATAAAAGATTCGGCCGATAGAGGTCAGTTCCGTTAATAAAAGTCGAGAAATGAGGGTTTGCGGAATACTTGCGTAATTATTACACGCATTGTGTATTATTGGCTAGTACCGATCTGGTGAATATTAGTCACCCTTTGGTTGGCATCCACTTAGGGCTCATTGAACTTGCGAGCTAGAAAGAAAAAAGTGGAGTATCACTTGGTTACGACACACTCGATTTCTCCTTCCAGGCTGTCAGGTCCAAACCGTCGTTCTCATACGTCGAGCAGTTCCTCACGTCATTTCTATGAAAATTAATAAATATCTGTTATGCGAGGAAAGTTTGTTCTTTGACCATATTAAGGTTTTATGGGGTTACGTACAAGAAAGGATCCGTCAGTATGAACGCTCTGGACTGTATGGTTCTCAGGTTGTCAGCATTGTTACACAAAATTCGGGCCATGGTTATTTTTCGAATTTCCTCCAACTGGTCCAGGGTCAATGCTCCTTTACTGTTTCCATTCTCGTACCAGTACCTGTCGCCTGTGCGGGACAATTGCGACGGATTGCTCAAGGTGGTCTGAATCATTATAATGGAATTTCTGAATGAGGCTTATTTACCTAGACGAAGGTTTCTGAATGTCTTTCCTAGAAGACAGAGGAAAGTGGGTCCTACGACGGAACCTTCTGCAGGAGCCTCGGACAGCCCACCGGTGACAAGGTCGACATCTTGGATTTCACTGATAATACCAAATTGTCTTGTATATTGGATACCGAGCTAATTAGACTTATTTTAATAGATCATAGACAGTGATATACCTATAGACGCTACTGAGTCTGTCTATGGTTTCTTTGGACATGGTTCCCACTAGGTCCTGGAAGTTATTGACCTCAGGCAGATCGCAGAATTTTCGCCACTTGGCATAAGGTGGCAGACCGTGATCTCTTCCTTGTTGGATGATCTGTGCAGCATAGTCCACGGCAACTTCTTTGGTTTTACCATCGTGGAAGTACCTTCCCAAGAGTATTTCATTGAGTCCGGGTGGCAAGGGCTTTCTGGAATGTCCAGCTGAAAGTATTAATGAATAAAATATTTAACGATCCTTCCATCTGAATATGTCAAGATAATAATACTAGTGATCGGACCAGTCGCCCCGGCAATCAGACGCTCGATGGCGCCAGCCTCGTAAAGCTCCTGGGGAGCGTAGAAGGCAGAGAGAAGAGATCTTTCTCCAGATTTAATAGCAGACCGAGTATCGACCAGGTCCAGGGTCTTTGGAGTGAGAGCAGCGACGAATGACAATCCTGCGGATGCTGCGGCATTTGATATCGTCGCGTCTGTCTGAGATTTATAGCCCCGGAAGTATCCTTGTGCCGTGAGACGTAGATCGTATCTTTAAAGAATGTATATTAAAAAATTCCATAAATTCTATAATTATAGAATAACAGGTGGAATTCCTTCAAAGTTCATACTTGTCCAGCATCGTCTCCCCGAGGACGACCGGAAGGAATTCGTTGTAAGTAACGTGCTGCATCTCGGCAATTACTATTTTTCTGCTTTCTTGATAAATTCTCTCGTCGTCCCACCGAGGGTTGAGCTGCGCCAATTTCTTGGCAATCCTGTTATGCTCCCTCATGAACAGGACGTGCATCAGAGCGACGCCCGGATGCTCGTTGATCCTGGAATCGCCGCTGAGGAAGCAGGGGAAGGCGTCGCTATTGCTTCTGCAGCCTTCGGCATCTTTGGATGGCATAGGAAGATTCGTCCTTTGGGTGCTGAGCAAACCGTCCTTGCCGGAGCGCAGGGACTTGGCGGTTTCCTCCGAAGTTCCATACACGTGAGATAGATCCAGGTAGGACGTGGCCTGATTAATTTGCTGTCGAGGTCCCAGCTTACAACCCTGCGAAACGTCCTTAACTTTTTTAGTAGATAGCTGCGAAATCCGTCCTCGAATATTTTCTATTTCCCAATGATACAAATATATAGATATCCGTAGCGCATAGATACACTTTCTGCTTTCAAGGACATCGTCTCATTCACCGACCACTCCCGTGGAGTCGATATTACCCATTTATCTTTTATATTGACGTACCTGAAAGACGTTTCCGGGATGGGGAGCTGATCGCGAATATTCCATACACTGTATAGAATTTTCAGCTAGTATGGGGAAGCACTCAGGATGAAAATTTTCAAATTCCACGTCGCAGCACTTTAACCTGGTCCCATCGGGAAGTACCATCTTGGGGGTATGAGCAAGATCATGCGCGAGGAACTGTCCAAAGAGCGCAGCCAGGGCCATGAGGTAAGGATGCTTTATGTCGGGACCGCCTGCGTGAATTTTTGAAGACACGTCCCGAGCACTAGGCAGATCGGTCCTTGGTAGAGAGACGCCATCTTTATACTCTGGCGGAAGAAATCTGGAGTACGCCTCAAGGGCGGCTCCCCAGGTAGGATGAATGGCATTGTTACATCTTCCGTTATAGGTTCTGTATCGGTTGTCGATATTATTACATTCTCTCATCATCCTGATGAACTTCAAAGTGTCCTCGGCGCAGATCGTAGTACCGACGGAGGGTAAAAGCGCAAGGGCGTCTTTGGGCGACATTCTTAAAGCCTCCACCAGCATCACGGACATTGTCTCACCGCGAAGTGCTCGTCTAGACAGTATTTGAGCTGCCTCTGACATCTCGTGAGATGCTCCCAAGTACCAGGACGGTGATCCTTGAGGAAGGTGTATCCTGGAGTTGAGAATAGCCTCCTCCATCCGATCGTACCTGTCCATCGATAGATTGGCGCGTTTACTGATGTCCTGCAACATTCTCGTCGGCAGCAGCGTGCACTGTGAGATCACCAGGAGGCTGAGAAACCTGAATAACAACAATTCATTCGTTTTGTGAATATAAAAACAATAATTATGAAATGCATGAAAAAAAGTATATAATAATATTTAACGAGTTATAAAAGAGTATCAGATGTCGTTCATCTTGTCCCCATCCCCAACTCGCCTGACGGCGGACGTCTTCACTGAGACAAATAGATTGTAGAAATTCTGATATCTGTTATAATAAATTCATTGATGGTAACAATTACTACATAGATATCACTGGGTACTACTTGCGATGAAAAATTTACAATATAAGTTTGTTACTGCGATAGCTTGGAGATACTCAACAAGATTTATTAATGTTTACTATATGAATATTAGTCATGAGAACCATAAATAGCTATGGATTAATTCAGCGGAATTGTTTTCAGGATTTTTTAGTAACCGAGTGTTTACGACTACAATCCATTGTTATCGGGCGGAACAATCCACGTAATGGTTAAGTATTAAATAGAATTTAAAATTTTAAAATGATAATGACATAAATCTACAGTGTTATAGATAGTCACAAAGCATTGCAATCTAGAAACAATTTCAGATTCCAATAATTCTTAGCATCACAGATATTAAAAATAACAAATCGTATGTATTATGCAGAGATTGTTATATGTATGTACAATGTGATATTGTTAGCAGCAATAGTATCGGTAGATTGCATCGGATAATATATTTTTAATGATATAAATAGATATTTACGCTAATATAATTAGTCCCATCCCTATACTGAATATTAAATATGTTAACGGGTAGTATTTTTTTACTGTTCAGTAATATCTATTTCTCTCAGTGTAGACTTCACGAACTCGGTTCTTCAATCTTCCTGTTCCGTGAGAGGTCGAATCCTTCCGAGATTACACAGTCGTGTTGGCATTTAGGATGTTTCCTGACTCTCTCATTACTTTTTTTTTGCATAATAATCCGCAGCAAGTTTGCAATAAATTTTCAAATATATGTCTCAGCAAGTGATTATTTTACTTAATGCTCCAGGGTGGCGATATTAAAAAAAAATCAAACGCTGTAGTTAAGTTAAAATAAAATATAAAGTTAACTATATAAATAAATTTCAATCGAGTAAAAGCAGAATCGTGTAAAATAAATTATTTTATACGATCGTGTAATGCCATAAATAAAAATGGACATGCGTGTCTCCTAGCGAGTCAGGAGAATAGCGCAATGCGTGGGAGCGGAAGAAACCGTGCGAAAGAAAGGAAGGCACTTACCGTAATACGAAAGCAATCATGTCTAGCCTGTGTCTTTTCATTTTGGAAACATAATTCGAAAATGAATGCTTGGGTAAAAATGGTATTATTAAGTCTTGTCTCAGGGCCCAGTTAACTATTTGAGAGGATGTCACTGATGTAAATAAAAAGTACGATGACAAGGGATGGGAATATACGTAAGAGGAACCGGCCGGTGAGTCTGCAGCAACACGGGCAGATCAACTGAGAGCTGAGAGCTCGGAGCTGAGACGTGAGGCCGATGCTCGAACGAAAGTAAGTCTACTGCAATGATGGTTGTTCGGACGAGAGTGGGGTCGGGGCCAGGATCGTTATCGTATAGGGTGTCAATTATAAATCGAATATACTACACAGGTTGTTGCAATGGAGAGGCAGCGTTTATCAATAACAATAGAAAGGATGATACTTTCGAAAGGAAGTACTAATGCGCCCAGACAGCCAACTCAAGTACTTGTAATAAGAAGGCTGAGGAAGAAATCTGGATCAGCATCGAGGCCAAGGATCCTTTGAATCGAGGTGGATCGCTGATATCGCAATGGCAAGTATAAAGGACACAGAAGTCAAAGCTCATTGTACAGTCGGAGAGTAGAGAGTCGCGGAGACGCCCCCGCGACGCCTCTCAAAGTTTCGTGGTGTCGTTATGCTTGAGTGCGGACACCGTATATGTATACTTTGATTTGTTTTGCATAATATTATGTCTCAGGTAAGCGCTTGAACGCCATAACGTTATGCTAATTCTATAGCGATACTCGTTTGATCATCAGTGAATCCGTGCGGATTCAGATGGCAGGATCGATTCAAATTTGGATTTATGATAGCTCATCCTCATCTTAGAGAGCAGATTAGCCTCGTAAGGTTTGTCCTCGAGTTTAAGAGGTACGTCGATGCCGTGACATTTTATATGATCAACGTGGGTAGAATCTAGCCTGGAATGTCACGAGTTGTTAAATCTGTACTGCCTTCTGTATCTTCTGTGTGTGACGTATCCTCAGAGCAAAAGTCAAACTTTCGCTAATGTTACTGGCAGCCAATGATAAATTACATCCTGTTCTTATGTTGCATCTTCAAGCCGTTAAGTTGGCCCGTTGAAGGAAAAATCTTACTACCGATGTGCCTAAAGGAAGTGATTCAAGGTTAAGTACATTCACGTACGTTTATTTACTAGTAAATCATTTATTAGCGTTTTTGGGGATTTTCTATTTCTTATGTAAGCGTTCGATTGACCTGACGCTCCAATATTATTTATGGTCCTAGCTCCTAGGAGCGGATATCGTCTGTATTATCTAGGACGGCCCCGCTGTAAGCGAGATCCCAGTACTGCTCGACTTGATGCTTTTTAAAATGCTCGCGAGCCATTTTTTCTATTGGGCAGACCTTGAACTTTATCTCGCCAAAATGCCGTTGTTTACTTGTGCCTTCCCACACGAGAACGCATTTGTTAGGCACGTCGTTACCATCGTTGTCTTTCACAATATCCTCCTCCCACTTGATTCTGTGCATCATCAGCCGCTTATACTTGCTCAGCTGTTTGGCGCCACCCTCGACGACAACGACGTTGCAGTCACGGAATAGCATAACGCATCCAGTCAAGTAAAGTTGCTTTGCGTTAGCTTCTACTTTGAATTTCTTTGATGCGTTGTTCAGCAGATCTCGTATTCTATTGATATAAAGCGTAGAATATGTGAGCTTCTGTAGAACATTGACTCCATATGAAGAAACATAGAAATCCTTACCTGTAAACAGCTACGTGTACACCCAAACTTGTGTCTTCTTTGAGTTTGCGAGCTTTTTTCTCACGCCGTTGATCTGCAGTGAGTCTTCGCGCTGCGTTTGCGTCCTCGTGAGCTTTTAATCTCTTGGCCATTTGCTGACGAACGTGCGCTTCTATTTTTGTGGGATCTTGAACCGCTTCCGTGCCGAGTACTCGCATTAGATTTGAAATTCGTAATTTGGGTTCCGGGGGCGGTTCCAATCCTAATCGAATTTTTTCCTGTTCCTCCTTCCAAGCTTCTCGTCGATTTTGGCGCCTAAGCTTTTTTCGTTCTTTCTTCGTTAGGAAGACTGGCATGTAGATTTGTTTCAGAGGGTCAGCTATGATATGATAAGAATTAGTTTTTAGTATAGATCATTCCCGGTAAATAACGTGTAATTAAAATATACATACTAGGCGGTCTCATTTGAGTGGGATGTTCAACTAGATTTGTAATCGTAGAATTTTTAACGGGCATTGGTTCACCTTCATTAGCGTAACCACCCGTGAGGATGACAGAATCCCACCACTCTACGTTGGGAACGTCTTCGTTTAAGGCTTCTGTTTTAGGAGCAATTAAGGCTAACTTCGTGGCCGAGCTAATTCCGGTTTTTCTAGCTATTTGACTTATCTCGTTTTGGAGTTTTTCGAGTTGTGCTTTCATGCGAATTCGCTCTGCAAGTTGCTGGAACTTTCCTGGCTCATGGAACTTTAGGCCGCGCTTCACACGCGTTGCAGATTTTACACCGATTCTTGTATCAAAGAAATGCGTATCTTGAATCTCTTCGGGACCTTTTGATTCTTGTAATTGCGCTTTGAATTCTTCACGCTTTTTCGCTCTGATGTTTGCTTTCAATGTAGGAACAACCTGAGTCAACTGAACTTCCTTGCCTGTAATGTCGACCGTTCTACCGGACTCGTCCAGGATGAGAGGTGTCGGTTTGTCAGGCACGCTAACGTTACTTAATAAGCCTGAACTCAATTTGTTTCTGATTTGAGCTTGAAGCGCAGCAATTTTTCTAGCCTTATCTGAATCAGTTTTACTGAGAAGGCCCTGATTATACATACTGCCAACATTGGGTAACGAATCTCGAGCCTTGAAGAGTGGTCTCACTGGAGGTACTTCTTCCTGTTTTATTGCTTTTAAAGCTCTTTTTCTTTCTTCTATTTCTCTTTGCGCATTAACCATCATTTGTTTGATCTGAAAAAGAAAAACGTATTTCATAGGTATTTAGCATAGTTTGACGATACTATAGAATGTCAAACTGGGCAAATACTTTATCCGCAGACAACTGTGCTTCTGTAGTCTTTTCATTTTTAGGCTCATCGTCCCTAATTCGGGCCTTTTTTATTTCTTTGTCCTTGTCTTTATCATCAGTATGAGACCGTTTTTTCGATTTCTGAGCAGCTTTTGTATCATCGTATACCATGAATATTTTTTCTGTCAACTTCGCTGCCTTTTTATCTTCCAGAAGTGCAGACAACTTATCTGTAAATAAGTAAAGTCACAATATTCAATTATCGTGTATAATATTAAGTAATACTACCTGAACTTTGTAAGCTATTAAAGAAATATAAACCTGCAGTTTTCCGTCTGTCATAACCAGAGCTAATGCAATTGACAGCAGTAGTGACGATGGCAGGTTCACCAAAACCCAGAAATTTATGGACTGCCTTCTCTATCTGAGGCTTCATCTCATCAATTTCTTTCCTAGTCAAGTACGACATTTTCACCTTCGCTTAAATCCACTTTGTTGCTTTAAAACTTGTTAGCCGCTAGTCTCTAGATCTCCACAGTATAACCCCCATAAAAAGTGAGGTTAGGTTAACCTGCTCAACTCTAAGATAGCCTACTATTTTTTTGTTCTCCAAAATGTGCCGCCTTCCTCTCCCTGTTACCAATTATGACCTTTCATTCATGTCATTCACAGTAGATATTTCGCATTTTTATGTTATATATTGAACGACGCAGAACAACGTTGCAAACACAAAATACCGAACTAAGCATCGGCTGCTTCATGCTGGTTCGTTGTCGAGCATAACCAGCATAGCCAGTAAAATGGCGATAGTGGCGCTTTGTCATGCTCTGGGGACGAATGACAAGAAGTTTCCACCACAGTCGATAAAGTCACAACTACCCATCAATCGTCAAAGGCGTCTGTAATGGTCTATATTCGCGAGTTGGCAAATGGTATCAATAATAGAGTTTCAGAAACAGCCAATTTCGCACCGTCGGGAAGTTAGCGTCAAAAGATGTATGTGTACTTAATGTCTAAAAAATTGTTTCGTAAATGCTCCTTATATTTTCCTAATTGATCTGCTGCTTTTATACAATAATTGAAAAATATTCACTAAAACAGAAAAATATTTTTTTGATTGCTACTCCAATTAACCAATCAGATTCTCGAATGATTTTTTCAATGAATCAATTGCTCTCAAAATGCTCCATTTTGCACCTAAATTTGTTTTTAATTTCATTAAAACATCTTGAAATAGCAAGTAAAATTTGATTTTCTCTTGGATATTAACAGTTGGAAATCAGAAATCCTGGCCAAACATATTTAGAAGTACTCAAAGTTG